ACTTTATTAGGTGAAATCTTACATGACTCGAAACTTGTTGCACTTGCAAAACCAAAATCTATGACACCCTTTAATAGTGTTTTAATTTCTTAATTCTAGAACCTCGAGCATCGAAGGAAGCGTCACCATGAATGGCGCTGAGCGCAATCTGAGTGCTTTCCGCAAGCTATCTGCCTACATCATGCAGGATAATCAGCTGCACGGAAATCTAACTGTACAGGAAGCGATGACGGTGGCAACGAATTTAAAGCTCAGCAAAAAATTCACAAAACCTGAGAAGAATTCAATGGTAAGTGGAACGAAGTTCCAGACAGCCGGACACATGCATACAAACATGTTTACAAACAACATGTGTACATAACAAAAGGCAGCGACAGTCAGACAGCTCCAGACTTATTCTCGGCTCATATTTGTAGCTTAATAGAACCAGTTTTTGGCATATTATATCACAATGCGGGGAGTTGAAATTATGGAAGTCTATTTTAACTATTTACAAAAGTTCTTGCAAGTCATTGCGCGGCCAGACGAAAACAAAAACTTACTTAAAAGGGAACACCATAAATAATAAGTTTGATGTCTTATTTTGCAGATCGATGACATTTTGCTGACTCTAAGCTTGAGTGAGCACCGTAATACGATGACTCGCAATCTGTCAGGCGGCCAGAAGAAGCGTCTATCCATTGCCTTGGAGCTGGTCAGCAATCCGCCCATCATGTTCTTCGATGAACCCACCTCCGGTCTTGACAGCTCGACCTGTTTCCAGTGCATTCATCTGCTGAAAATGCTGGCCGCAGGCGGACGCACAGTTATATGCACCATCCATCAGCCTTCCGCCCGTCTCTTCGAGATGTTCGATCAGTTGTACACTCTCGCCGATGGACAGTGCGTCTACCAGGGCAGCACCAAGCAGCTGGTGCCCTTTCTCTCCACCCTGAACCTGGAGTGCCCCAGTTACCACAATCCGGCAAGCTATGTCATTGAGGTTTCTTGCGGAGAGCACGGTGATCACACCCGCAAACTGGTGGAGGCAATCGACAATGGCAAGAGGGACATTCGCTCCTCGGCAGACTATGCCGGACTGAAGGCCCGCAATGATCTGGTGAAGGTGCAAAATCTGAAGGCCATCCTGGACAAGAACGATGCCTCTAATGTCAGCGGCAGCAAGTACGAGGATAATCTGACCCTGAACAATGGCTTGCTCAACGGCATGGTGAATGACATTGTGAAGAACACGAACGCTTCCACCGCTGTGGTCAGTACCAATGAGAAAGGCGATGCCATGATCGATGTGGAGAAGACGGACAACTGTACAACGGCCTTGCTCTCCGAGGAGATTACATCGCCAGAGCGTTATCCCACATCGCAGTTCCATCAGTTCTGGGTGGTGCTCAAGCGGACACTCCTCTTCAGCTACCGCGATTGGGTAGGTTTTTTACACATTTTTAAATGGAATCAATAACTAATATAATCTTCATATTTTAGACGCTTATGTACCTGCGTTTGTTTGCTCATCTGTTGGTTGGTTTTCTCATTGGCGCGCTCTACTACGATATTGGCAATGACGGAGCCAAGGTGCTCAGCAATTTGGGTTTCTTGTTCTTCAACATGCTGTTCCTCATGTACACCTCAATGACCATTACGATTCTATCATGTGAGTTTATTTAACAACAAATCCGAAGCTCTCTTTTATTTAACGAACTTCCTTAGTCCCACTTGAGATGCCCGTGCTGTTAAAGGAGAACTTTAATCGCTGGTACTCGTTGAAATCCTACTACCTGGCTATATCAGTCGCTGATCTACCATTTCAAGTGAGTTTTTTCAAAGCGCTTGCAATGAACTTTCAATGAATATTTATTTTCTCTCTTTTTACCAGGCAATATTCTGTGTCATCTATGTATCCATCGTTTATTACTTCACCTCGCAGCCTTGGGAACTGTTCCGTTTCTCGATGTTCCTGTCGGCCTGCCTGCTCATCTCCTTCGTTGCCCAGTCTGTTGGTCTCGTGGTGGGCGCTGCCATGAATGTGCAGAATGGAGTCTTCCTTGCCCCGGTCATGTCCGTGCCATTCCTGTTGTTCTCCGGTTTCTTCGTCTCATTCGACGCCATACCGGTTTACCTACGGTGGATCACATATCTATCGTACATCCGCTACGGCTTCGAGGGCACTGCTCTGGCCACTTATGGCTATGAGCGTGAGAAGCTGCGTTGCTTCCAGACCTATTGCCATTTCAAGTCGCCAATCACAACGCTAGAGGAGCTGGACATGGTGAATGCCAACTTTACCCTGGATATTGTGGCCCTTGTTGTGATCTTTGTGGTTCTGCGCATTTCAGCGTATCTGTTCTTGCGGTGGAAGCTGAAGACTGTGCGCTAAATTTGTTATAAAACAAACAATTGTTTTCGGTTCTAAAAGCTTTCTATGTACCTACCTTTTTAGTTATCAACAAAGCGTTCTGGGTTCTTAATTTTTAATGCTGTACATTTTATTGTTTGCCTAGTTTTTAGTTGAGAAAGAAATATTCATGAACTGTCTAAGTGATAGCCGCTTTATTCCACGCCCAGAAATAGAAAACGATGATAACTTTTGATCAAACTAAAGAACATTGAACAAACCACAATTAAGTAGTAAGAAAATATACGAAAATAAGTAATTAGAACATCAAATGAAACTATTTTTGCCAAATTTAATAAAATATTTAAATATATTTTCATGTGAAATTTTGAAATGTGTACAAGCAAAGGAAGAAATTATTGTTGTCTGTGAATAAACATATTTTATATATACCATATACACATATAAAAAATAAAAATATATAAATGTATATCCAAGATTTATTTACACCAATTTGTAATGCAGCTTTCTGATCAATTCATAATGGTATTTAAGTGCAAACACACATATTTTGTAATCACATTTATATATTTATAATTCATTCGTGGAGGAAATAAAGAAATGTCGTACAAAAAATACCACTGAAAATTAATACAGAATGCTATGGAACGGGACACTACTCTCATCTCTCGTCCTCTTCCAAGAGGATCCCACTTTCGATGGGTATAAAAATCACGAACGGTCTTTAAATGTAGCCAGCCCAAAAGTATATCGTAACTTTTGTAGTTAGCCAATTCTGCGACAACTCAGTTTGAAAGTCCGTTATTCGTTTATAACCTAATTGCGGGGGCCAAAGAGTTGAAATCAAAATATATGTACAAAAGGGCACAGAAGGTGAAGAAAATGGCAATTGGTACTGATGAGTGGCAGTTTCGAGTCTTCACGTCTGTCATTGCAATGAATTTGCAATTTTGCTTCGAATAAGTTAGAAATTGCTTTGCAATGGCCCAAGCGGCCTCAATGTGAGGCGGTCATAATAATCACCATTATTTAGCCAAGCTATAGAGAATGATTTCAAAATGTATCATAAAAACTCTCCCTACCGCTCCTTACTTTTACATTATGTATTCCTATCTCTGTTTATTGCAGAGATCGTTTGTGCACGCTGGACTATAAATAAACTACGTGTATCCCTGCTGTAGCGAAAACCAGAGACGAGGCGGCTCAACTAGTTTTGTCAAGAGATACAGCTGCTGCTGCTGCTGCTGCTGCTGCTGAGGATGAGCAAAAAGCTCTCGTTGTTTGCCTAGAAGTGTTCTCTCTTCACTTTTCTTTGTCTGCCGTAGACTGTTGGGGGGCTGGGGCTGCCACGCTGTTGTTGTTCTTCCTTCATTTGCTTTCAGTACATTTTCGGTCGCTGGTGCAACAAGTCGACTGCTGCTGCCGCTGCCGCTGCCGGTTTCGCTGTTTCCGACGCTCAGTCTCTGAGTCTCCCACCATCCATGCCACCCATACACAGCTGCCTCGGCAGGCGAAAGAGAGTGGAAAGCTAGCAACAACAAAAAGGAAAGTGGAGTAAGTGCAATGCAGCTCTATGACCCGTTACTCTCCCTCTCCCTCTCCCTCTCGCTCTCCGATTGTGGCGACAGTGAGTGCTGCATTTACGCAGCTGTAAAAACATAATAATAATAAAACTCGGTACCCAGCAGCAGCAGCAGCAGTAGCAGCAGCAATATCTAAGCGCGTTCGTTGAACCTGACAGTCGAATGGCTGCCAGAATGTGTTTTCGGAAATGTGTTCACATACAATCAGCAAACACTGTTTAATCGATTGCTGGGTCAACTCAGGGAATCGCTTTGGTTAGATCACATAATCCTGATAACGGCTGAAACCCACCAAGAAGTCAAACTGATTCCATGCGGGATTAACTCAGGCACAACGTATCCGGTTAGAGTCAGCGATAACGCTGGGAGATAGATATTAGACAGAATCCCATAATAATTATACTGAAATGGTGAAATTGATAGATACATGTATTAAACATACGTGAGTGGACGTGGATAATGTGGCATTTTTAATCATATATCGCACAGCCAAAGCAAAGTTCAACATTCGCCGCTTCAATGCATTTGCATGCGCCATTACCATTACTCACACACAAAAAAAAAGGAAAACAAGCGACGGAAAGTCGCCACTGGGATACCCTTTCAATGGCAACATCTACCAAACAGCTGGCTATATTTATAAAGAGTATATGGAGGAACTTGCCAGCCCTCAAATGTATCCAAAAAGCTTGAAGGTGGAGGCCATTGGTCACGCACTTGCTCCTATTTTGTATTCCATACACAGCCGCTAAAGACTTTCCACGAACAAAGCCGAACAATTGCAGCAGTTCGGAGAACTCTCTAGATATTGAGCGAGCACATAGAGCATGTGCATTCAATGAGAGAGCTAAGCAAAAGATAAACAATGAAAAAGTAGTACACCGCATGGCTATCAGCTGTGGCCCTTAAATATCAGTTGAATGTAAGCTTCCGCATACAATGTACATACATAATATGTACATGGGCTGATAACGCTCTCTACACTCGTACACATTTGTGTTCCCGAAAGCAACTGTTGTGCAGTTGCAACTGCAACAGCAACTTGAACTGGAAGTTGCCGCTCCGCTTATCTGCTGCTGCTGCTGCTGCAGCTGAGACACCGATTCGTGGTAGTTGCAAAATTCTGGACAAGTTTTGTTTGCTTGTCTCTACTGAGATTACTCACCAGCAACCCGTGACACTCACTCTCCCCCACAAACACACAACCAAATGCCCAGATGCGATCGGCATACAGTCAACCAGCCAGCTAGTCAGTCAGGCAGTCAGTCAATCGGTCAGAATTCATGCTGCGGCCACTAGTCGAGTCGTTCCCGTACTGCTTTCAATCAATTGAAAATCCGAGTTTATTTTTCGAGCTGCGCTCTGGCACAGCAGCAGCAGCAGCAGCAGCAGCAGCAGCACTCGCGCGATCCCACTCCGGCCGGCGGAGAAATGAAATTCGTTGAAAAAAGTTCTTTACTCAGTGCGAAATTAGTTTCCAGAACGAAAGCAGCGCGTTTTGTGGTCGTATCAAAGCGTATCGAAGCGTAATTGTAATAAATGCTAATACTCATTTGTAGGCTCCAAGTGCCCGCATCGCTAATTAGAATAACAAGAAAAGGAAGAAAAGACAACGAACGCAGCAGTGAATACTTCTGACAAACTGGTTTAACTATATATTTACTTAATGCTGAACTTCAATTGATTCTATTGAACCAACGGACAAGAAATTCCAAAGCGAAACGATCGCAGAGTAACGAGAGGTTATCATCAGTGCCAGCCTACAGCAAAGTTTCACTTCTCATTCCCATCGTTTCCCATTTCAGGGGCAATGAATTAAACCCTAATTAAGGCAAGGCAACCAGCAAGATGCAAACCACCAGCAGCAGCCTCAAAGGCAGCACAAACTCCCAAAATAGTTCGCTGCAGTACAGCAGCGACATCAATGCCATCAGCCTCGAACTAGCCGAACATTCGGAGGACTTTCAGTCTGTCACCGGATTCAAGTATTTGCCCGCGTGGCCAGCAGTTAATTTACAATTTGCGGGACTAAATTGTGAAGTTACGGACAAGTGCAACGGTAAGTGACTCTCACATTAAAGCTAAATAAATGCTAATCAACGTATCGTGTATAATATTGGTTTATTAAGAATGATAATTGGGCGTCGTTTGCCAAGTAATTGCAATGCATGTCCCGTCTTACTAACCGATCATTTTTGTACGGCTTTAAATGCACATATTAAACACACAATTATCGACGTAAATTCCATACTCATGAGGTGTGGCATTTAACCACAATTACTTAAGCACTTAGTCAATTAAAGTCCACCTTTCAAACCCTTTTTGCAGCCCAAAATACGAAAAAGATTTTGCGCGAAGTGAATGGAGAATTTCGCTCCCATGAACTGACGGCGATTATGGGACCTTCAGGAGCGGGCAAGACGACGCTGTTGAATCTGCTGGCGGGATTTGGGTAAGCTGATTAGAACCCATCACTGGTCGCAACTGAAACTATAAAATCTTCTGCAGTTCTGTCAGCAATGTGGGTGAGATTTTAGTCAACAATAGCCCCAGGGATATGCGAGTCTTTCGGAAAATGTCTCGATATATAATGCAGGTACTTAGAAGAGGGCTTTACTCATCGCAGGTTCATAATTGTTCATTTGATGCTTTTCAGACAGATGTTCTTGATCCGCAATTTACTGTGCTCGAAATGATGCTCCTGGCCGCACATCTGAAGTTGGGAACGGATCTGAACTTAAAGCAAAAGCTGGAAGTGGTGGGCAGCTACAAAGGCATTTATATTAGAAATCATTTAATCAACATTTGTTGTAGATCGATGAAATTTTGGGTATGCTGCGCCTGAAAAGATCAGAAAACACAAAGGCCTTACGGCTGTCGGGAGGTGAACGAAAGCGCTTGTGCGTGGCCCTTGAGCTGGTCAATAATCCACCTGTACTCTTCCTGGATGAGCCCACAACGTAAGTGAATCGAGAATAAATTTGTAAATATTTACCAACTAAACAGCTAAACCCAACAGCGGTCTGGACGATCTGTCTAGCTCTCAGTGCATGTCGCTCTTGAAGCTGTTGGCGGCTGGCGGGCGCACTGTAATCTGCTCAATCCATACCCCATCCGCCAAGATCTTTGAGATGATTGACACGGTGTACGTGCTGGCCGAAGGGCAGTGCGTCTATCAGGGAAGTGGCAGCAACATTGTGCCCTACATGCAACACTTGGGGTTGAGCTGCCCCGTCACATACAATCCGGCTGACTTCATCATTGAGGTGGCCTGCCACGAGTATGGCGATGCGTACCAAAAGCCAATGGTGGAGGCCATTGCCAATGGCAAGGTCACGCGTTGGACTCCGCCAGGGGACGATGGCAAGGTGACACCCACGAAAACCGACACAACATCCGGCGCATCGTCCTTCTACGAGATGGAGCAGTTCGATGAGGAAATTAATCCAAAGCTGTTGCAGGCAAAATCTAGCTGGTGGATGCAGTACAAGCTGCTGCTGTGCCGAATGTTGCTGCAAATGTGGCGGGACAAAGTGAGTAATGAAGTAAAGATGAATCAGCACATCTCAAAATCATCAAATGCTCTTAAATCTTCCCCCAGTCACACATCAAGCTAAAGTTCTACATGAACATAGTGCTGGCACTCATTGTGGGAGGCCTTTATGTGGGAGTGGGCCGCCTGGCATCCAAGGCGCTGTTCAACTTTGGATTTATGTTCACCATTGTCATAGCTTACTTGTACCTGCCCATGATGCCGGTGCTGCTCTACTGTAAGTCAGCTTTCTGTCTGTCTTCTTAGCTCGCATTACACGCTCCTTTTTTGGTCAACAGTTCCATCGGAAATAAATCTATTGAAGCGGGAATACTTCAACCAATGGTACCGCCTGAGCTCCTACTATGCTGCAATGATTTCTGCCAAATTGCCATCGATGTTCGTTCTGGCTGTTATTTATTTATCAATTGTGTACTTAATGTCCAGCCAGCCGCTGGAGTGGTTCCGCTTCATTATGCTCTTCACGATAGCCTTTCTGACGGCCCTAACTTCGGACAGTTTTGGCTTGCTGATTTCCAGTCGACTAAGCCTGGTGGCAAGTTTGATTATTTTCCCATCCAAAATCCTCAATCAACTTTTCCTCCTTCCAGAATGGCATGTTCATGGGCCCAGTGTTGGCAGTGCCGCTGATCCTGCTATCCATATATGGCATTGGCTATGGCAAAGATACATACATATCGCCCATCATGCGATTCCTGATGTCTCTCAGCTATTTGCGCCACGGCATGGAGGGGCTAGTGGCAGCGCTCTACGACTACGGCAGGGGCGACACAATCTGCGAAGACACCGAAATGTTTTGCATGTTCAAAAAATCAGAGTTCTTGTTGATCTTTTTGGGCTTCGAGAACATGCACTATCTGTGGTCCGTCTTTTGCTTGATTGGATTTTATTTACTCTTTACCATCTCGGCGTATGTCATGATACGACAGCGCCTGAAGAAATCGTCGTCCAATCAAACGTTCGCCTACGTCCTTCAGCTGTTGACTAAATACTTTAATTTTACATCATATAATTACTAAGTCTGAATTACCAAGGAAAAGGTTGGTGCTGGTAACCCAAAAACAAACTTTAATGTCAGAATGCCATACGTTAGTTGTTGCGCCATGCTGTGACAAATTTGAATACAATTATAGATAATAGTACGGCCGAGCTGTTGAGTGATATACAGGATACATCCAAATAGGCATAAATTAAAAGTAAAATATTTTAGATTACACTTACCAACTTCTACCAACAAAAGGCCCACGGGAACTGGAAGCAACGGAAGTAGATTGTCGCATAAGTTGATGGCAATTATCATTGTATTTTGTGAAAGTTTCCACGTACTGTACAAACACACATTTACGGACATAAAGTATACATACACTTTTTGCAAGGAGAGTGAAATATTTTGTTATCTGTTTTTATTTATTGCGGTGATTCCTATTATAAGTACTGTTACAATTAAAATACCCATACATACTTATGTGCAATTGGGTCATTCGTTTGGATCTTTAATATATTTTTGTAAAGGAAAATACATTATATTATGGTTGGCTACAGAAATACAAGGACAGTGTGTGTGTGTGTGTAAAAATTTGTTTACAATTTGTTGTTTAAAAACTTTTGTTGGGGTACAACTCATACCATGCACAATCGACAACACATACGACACAATAATAAAAGATACAAAAATAGATTTACAATTGAAACATGAGAAATGTTTGTGTAATTTCTAGGCAAATCATATCCAAGATTTTATACAATTTCAACGAGGCCAAGAGGGTCGGGCTGGGTGGCTATTTTCTTTTTGTGATAACAGATCTGAGCGAGAAGTTTTATACTATGTGTATACCTTAAGCTCATCATCAATTTTAGGGGAGCTCTCTATTAAGTAATTATATGCGGATAGTATGACAACTACAACTTAGCTGTGTGTGAGGACTGCACACATTAAAATGGTTTAAATTAAATAGTGTAGAGCGCAGATGCAGTTGGAAACTAAATCCCAAGCGAGAGGTCGCTCGCTTTGGAACTTAAATTCCAAACAAAAACTAAAAATTACGTTGCTGTTGCTGTCTCTGTTGATGGCTTCAACCTTTTAGCACACGGTGACGGCGGCAGCGATTCGTCAGCATCTAGTCAATTGATCTCCAAATGCTTTGCCTCCTCCCACGAGAAACCGTCACGTCCAAAGTGTCCATATGTGCTGGTGCGCTGGTAAATCGGCTGACGCAGGTTCAAGTCCCTGCAACACAACAAAAAAAAAGAAGGATAAATACAGTCCCGTACAAAATTGTCCAGCGTTCCACTTACTTCACAATCTTGCCGGGCCTTAGGTCGAAGTTGCGCTTGATAATTTCAAGCAGTTCCTTTTGTGTTTTATGGGAAGTGCCGTAGTCAAACACAGTGATGGACAGCGGCTCGGCCAAACCAATGGCGTAGGAGACCTGCACCAGGCAACGCTTGCAGAGGCCAGCCTTGACCAAGGATTTTGCCACCCAGCGTGCTGCATAGGCCGCAGATCTGTCGACCTTGGTGAAATCTTTACCGGAGAAGGCACCACCGCCATGTGCACCCCAGCCGCCATAGGTATCCACAATGATTTTGCGTCCCGTCAAACCAGCGTCACCCATGGGACCACCAATGACGAACAGTCCGCACGGATTGATGTGGACAATGGTGTTGGCATCAAAGTATTTGGCGGGAATGACGACTTTCACAACTTTCTCCATGACCTCCGAGCGCAGAGTTTCCAACGAAATCTTCTCCGAGTGCTGCATGGACACGACAATGGTGTGCACACGCTTGGGCACTGCCGAGCCTTGGTTGAACAGATACTCGCAGGTTACTTGAGTCTTGGAGTCGGGGCGAGCCCACCAGAACACGTCCGAGCGGCGCAGCTCTGCAATCTTTTCGTTCAGCTTGTGGGCCAGCACGACGGTGAGTGGCATGCATTCCTCGGTCTCATCGGTGGCATATCCAAACATGATGCCCTGAAAATAGGTTACAAATCGCTTAAGTAATGCACTTTATGAGAAGACGAACAAAACGAAAGCAACACAAACCGAACACAAACAACCTTACCAACCATTTGTAAGTAGAATAAATAAAATACATTTATGTTTAGTATTAGTAGGAGCGGAAGATGATTCAAGCGACAAGGATTAGATGGTGGGAGTGGCAAAAGTAATAGTAAAATAAAATTAAGAGAGTGTATTTTTGTGTGTAAATTATGCAGTGGTGGTGTGTGCCTTGATTTTGCGCATTTGTTATTTGAAAGAAAGAGAATAAACTGAATAATATAATAAATAGGCCGAATAATATGCAATATCAGATGAATTTTCTGATCGAATTTTGTTGGCTTCAAATAACAAGCGAGGCGATGAAGTTCATGTTCTGGGATGGGCCAGCTGCGTTGCGATTTTGCAGCAGAATTTGCAATTGAAAATATGCTACAAATGATTTGAAAAGTAATCGCAATACAGAGGAGTCTCGATAAGCTCAATTAGTTACGAAAATGTATAGGAAACAATTATAAAAGAATATGTGCAACATCAAATTGTATTTAGTGGCGGTAAAACCCTTTCCAACAGAGTTATCAAATCGCCAAAACAGCCGAAACCACAGAGTAAAAAGATATGCTGGACCCGCAACCAAAAATGACAAAACACCTTCAGGCGCAACTCTTGGGAAAGGGCATACGTTCCTCGGCCTGCCGAGTATGCCAATTACTTTACGGTTTAATGTTTTCTAATCCACACCTGATCTCCGGCACCGATTTCTTCCTCGGGGCGATTGACATGCACGCCAGCAGCAATTTCGGGAGATTGTTGGTCCAATGCCAAAAGCACGTTGCACGTTTTAAAATCGAAACCTTTGAGTTTTGAACAATCAGTTTGCAAATTGGATAATATCGTAAGAGATATATGATTTTTTTGGTTTGTTTGTATCGTGTTTTTTGTACACATGAAACGAGAGAGAAAGAATAAAAGAAAATAGCGCAGCAATATTGCACACACACAGAGGGAAAATGTCTGTAAATAATGTATAATAAATGAGTTTCATTCACCCTTTTATTCTAGTTTATATGTAAAAATGTTTATAATTAGTTGCTGGATCTTCAATCTGATATTCATGACTGAAATTTGATTGCTAGTCGTTGCACCAGCTGTCAAGGAAGCCAAACCTAAAGTCATTTGTGGTGGAGACAACGGCAGGGAGTTCCTTAATATTAAGCCCCATGCAATGCATAATTTATGTTGGCCTGAATTACGCTTCGTAGAAGATCTACATCAGGTATGAAATGTGGTTAGAATACCCGAAAGTGACGTTCAAGGTGAGTGTATGCAATGATTATGCGCCCAATAAATGTTTTTGTTTTGCTCGAGACTTCATCTCTACAATTAATACTTTTTTAATGAGTATTTTTACTGGCAGTGTAAAGGATGGCTGATTCAAACTGAAATGAGCTAACTTCCTGGCCCTTTGGGTTGTAGCTTGGTGACATTAAAATAGATGTAATATGGTTAAACGAGTTTATCTGGCTGATTTGTCTCTTTTTTTGAATGAAATGAAACTCTGGTTGGCCTGCGAGCGAGCAAAAGTAAATGGGAGAAAAATACGATTTAAGAGAAACATTGAACAAAATGTAAACGTAACGAACAAACGCACACACTTTCCGCACATCACTTAGCTGCTAGGCGGTAGTAGGAGAACGGATAATCTTTTGCTGTACCTGATCACCAGCACCGACGTCGTCCTCTTCGCGGTTGATGTGGACACCGTTGGCAATGTCTGGGGACTGTTGTTCAATGGCGACAAGCAGATTTAGAGTCTTCCAATCGAAACCTTTTTAATTTTGATTTGATTTTTGATTCAAGTTAATTACTGGCTTTCACATGAATGTAATGGTAAGTTCCTGAAATCCCGCCCACAAATAATGTCTATATTTTACGATAGACCTTTCCAAACTTACCCTTGGAGGAGTCATCGTAGCCAATGTGCTGCACCGTTTCACGTACCACCTTCTGGTAGTCAACAACCGCCTTCGATGTGATCTCGCCGCAGAGCAGAATCATGCCAGTTTTTGCAACAGTTTCTGAAAATAAACGAAAGATTAATTTTTGTTTTAAAACAAGTCCAGCGGCAACAAGTCAAGCAACGTCAGTGGATCAGAAGCTTCACTCTGGATGGGACACATTTGTTTATTTGGCTATCAACTATCACACGCGTCGATTGTTGAGCTTATGTTTACTTTATGGACGAGTTTATTTACTGATGGACAGACGCCGCAGACAAAAATAAAAAGCCTTATCGGCGTATTTTGACTGGCTGCTATCACTCTTAAGAGGTCGCCGCTTTAGATCTCCCCACTGAGGTTGGAGTTTCAGCTTTTGTGACCATCACTGTTGTTGCTTGATGCTTGCTTTTTGAGTTGTACTTTACCACATGCTACTTTGGCGTTAGGGTCCTGCTTGAGGTGTGCATCCAGGATAGCATCGCTGATTTGATCGCACATTTTGTCTGCAAGAAAAAAGACAAGAAAGCGTGAAAATTTACATCGGAACATAGAACTTAGGGGGTAGTTTGGGCGGTAGAGAATGGGTGGCTAAGCGAGTGTCCAAATATTTGCCAGTTATGTGCTTTTCGTCTACATGTGTCGCCCTCCAGGCGCGACAGCTAAAATTGCTGGGCCATGCAGTTTATTTTAATTTCTTCAGTCTGCGATTGACAGTGAAATTCAATGCCACTTTGTGTCTATAACTCAGAACATAAGCCCAACGCTGCGATGCCGCTGTACAAACAAAAGTTTAAGCAAAAATAATATAAAAAAAAGACGCATGCCCACATGTGATCCTGGGGATCACAAAACGCCACCACAAGTGACACCAGTCGCGTTGCCATCAAAATGAGACGCAACACGTTGGCGAAATGAGAACTTTTCGGCCACTTTCATTGGAAACAGCGTTATTGAACTCCAAACTTGTGTCAGCAAGTCATTGCTGAGTCATTTGAATGGCGCATCGTCGTCTCGATTACAGCTGGGAAAATGATCGTTCTAAGGAAACTAATACTTAAGAACAAGCTAAACCTATGGGCATATGCAAATACATTCCAAGAATATAATTGCGACTTCATTTACATGGGGACTGCATATCTAATAATTGTAAAGACCTAGTTCATTATTTTCGGGAAAACCTTTAACGTCACTCATTCGTCATAGGGAGACAGGTGAAATGAACGGTTACTTTCCAGGTCCTCTCTTTCGGGGTACACTCCTCCTCTCTTATCAAACATCAATCCTGTCATCAAGGGCTGTCTTATGGAGTTGACTTAATTAGCATTATAAAATGGTAAAAGCAATCAATGCGTAGTATAAAAGGTCGCTCACTCTTATCAGCAAATAATATTAGTACGTATGTAGCTGTCTCTCACACACACTCAACTGGACTTACTGATATAAACAAATAGCAAGGCGGTGTTCGACATGGGGCGAACACACATTTGTAGCTAGAGCAAAACACGTGGTTGCCATTCGCAGGCAAGAAACGCTTTAAAAGCTGAGTAACTCGTTGCCATAGAAGCCGCCGAAAAGAAAACCAACGTGGATTCCTTCATTTTGGTCAATGTTTTGATCGTCTTCTGCAGAACAGGTACCTATGTACAAAAATGTATGTATTTATGTATACACGCATGTTGTTTCCGCAAATTGAGAGACAATCATTATCGCTCGGCAACGCAGGCAGAGTACATGCATACATACATACATACATGAACGTGTAGTCTCAGAAGCACATGGTGCGCATGACGCAAAATCCACGAGCGTGTGAGAGCGGGAGAGTAGAAAACGATAAAGAACCAGTCTATAAATTGCGTCGGCTCCACAAACAGAAAGTTGGGTCGCAGCTGTGTGGGGGCTAGGAGTGACCAGCTGTTTGAGGGCAGACATTTCGTTCTGTCAGGGTCCACGGGCGCCAGCTGACATATTTGTATGCATCAATTGCATCTCCCAATTGCAAATCTAACAAAAAATCTACACCTCAGCACCGGCACATGCACATGGATACGTACATCTGTATGTATTTAGACCCCTTCGCGGACCACTGCTGAGTAAACAGCACGTTTCTCGACACACAGTCAAAATCTCATTCCGCAGCTGACTACAAAAGAAGCGTAAATTGTAGTAACAATAAGGTTCGACGAGAGGGATAGTCGCTCGAGCAAAGGTGCGTGCCCCTGGGGTCTGCCGCCATTTTGTTAGATTCCAAGCAACATTGCAATACAAAAGATATCAGCAGCAGACACAGTCAACAAAGAAGCTGCCTGACGAGCCAGGAGAAATAATTTCGGTTAGGTTAGGAGCAGAACACAGAACACAGAAACACCGCAAAACTGACGCAGACGCCAAGTGCGAGAGCGTGCGTATGTATATATTTCGATTCACATGTAGCTACATACATACAGTCATACATGTCACATACATATGTACGCAGATGCACGGTCGCACTATGATGCAATAGGAGATACCTGGGATGCAATTGCAGAAGGCTGGGCTATAGATTTGAAGGGACGGAAACACCGCTCTTACCTGGATGTCCCTCGCCAACAGATTCGGAAGTAAATAGGAATGTTTGTCCATCTTCCATGTCATAGGAATTTCCATTGCCATTGCAACCATTGGCGCTGTGTCCGTTTGTCTTTTGCGGCATTTTGGTTTGAATTCTCTTGGTTCGTTCTGGATGAAGCTGTGTAAAAAAACGAAGCAAACAGTTGGCATTAGTGGGGAGAATATTCATGAACAAATTGATTTTCCACACTCTCACGAAATTTCACAAATATTTTGCACATGTACGAGTAGTTTGCCGCCGCCGCCGCCGCTGCCGCCGTAGCTGTGCTGTGCTGTTTTTTAGCTTTAGACATTTTCCGGTTTTGCACGCTTTTCGTAAAGTGTATGTATATATTTTTATATAATCACAAAGCGTATTTTACTTTTTCCTTTCATGCGGCGAGCGCCTGGTGTTTCTGCATTTCACAAGAGCACAGCACAGCAACGACGGATTCTAGCACACACCGGCGGCACGCACGTTTCAGACGGTTAACTATTCGAGAGGCGTTGTGTTTTGTATACTGTACACTAGTTCCTATTGCTATTAATTCAATCAATTATACACACTGATTCTCTAATGTTTCAGCGACAGCAACCTAATCAGCAGCGCAGCCAACACACGTCCAATCTATGCGACGGTTCTGTAGAAAAAGAGCGCACGCTTTTTGTGAGTTTCAAAACTTATACCTCGTTCGCGAGAATTTGTCAAGAGCGGGAGCGGCAGACTGGCAGAGAATATATATTTTGGGGTTTACGGTGGCGCTCTTTGTAGGTTGTTGGGGTCTCGCGAAACTTTCCTAGCGTTCTGGAGTTAATTTTAACATCTCCACGTTTTTTTCCTTTGCGCTGATAAAAACAGCTGTTTCTGGGTGCTGCCACACTGTTGGAAAATATACTCCTCGGATCTGGGTGCTCTGTACTTACTTTAATTTGAATATTATATTGGGCGGCTCGACAATTTCAAAGTTCGAAGAACTCAGCTCACGACTTGTCTACTGCTCGAACAGATTTCGACTGTGGCCGGTCTGTGAAACCGAATGTTAATTTATAAATTTTTTGCCGCCCCAACTCGGAAAGATGAGTCGGCACGAAATGAGAGCTTATCAAAACCAAATCTATGCGGTACTATTCGAATTAAAGCTGCTTACTTGAGCAACAATTTTGAAGTTTAGCTTATAATTGGCACATTCTTGTGAACGAAAATCTTATAAATTGCAACACAATCCCTTAATTGAGTGATATGATATAACCTGATGACAGATCCGTCGGTCGATGACATATCACGACCCTAATCAATTAAATATATAATGTTTTAGGGTTTTCCAGCCATCTGTACATTATTTATATGCAATATGGTCACGTCATGATAACGAGGTCTTCCAAGATCAAGGCGCTCGGTAATCAGCTTTCTGCATAACAAATATAGTAAAGATTCTAAATACCGACTGAGAATAGCCGAAAAAAACAAGCTGCATTATCTTCCAAATGATTTTGACCCCCCAGGTCTGATCGCGTGTGGCTCAAAACAATATACACAGATGTCTGTTATATACATACGTCAGCATATAGTTAAAATATGCGAATGGGCAATACAGTATTGTTAAGCTCGAAAATCGGACCTAGTTACACGGTTGTCCCACTGTAGAATCTTCTAACATTGAAATTGTCAATTTCGAGCTAGATCTCTGCACAAAAGTTATCAGTGCTGACCCCTGCGACCCCATCACCAACGTGACTTGACAAAAGTCGAAACGACGCCATGCGAACTGATGATTAATAATCTTGTTTTTGTATAGTTGGTTTCGTCTCGTTTTTAATCAATTAAACTATATTACAAGCACAATTTCCGTTCAAATATTTACTCGGCGGGAGCTAGAGCGTATTTGGTAGTTACAAAGATAATATGGCAACGCTGCGATATTTGGCTGATAAACAGCTGTTACTGTTACTGTCGTGTTTTTTCTGTAATGAAAGGGAAACAAATTGTTGAAATTGTGTAATTAGTTAAATGCGTTCGATCCGCTTATTAGAGCATCGGTCAACATGAAGGATATCCGCTGGTCGCTGTTTTTGAATGCAGCTGTCATTTGTCTTGCACTGCAAACGGCAGCATTGGACAACAGCGTGCAGGAATCACCGACAAATACCAATCTTAACAATTCTGCTACACCCGAAAGTAGTAACGTCAGTCATGTGAATTCCTCACCCAGCAATCCATTGATCAACGTCACAGTCTCGACTGTGTCGCCCCTCAATGGGAGCACCACGAGGAAGGGAAACACCTCTACTCTAGCCACGGAGCCTCCGCTTATTGATTTACATGCCGTTGAGCAGGAGCATAACTCGTCCCTGTCATTGTTCTTCGTAATATGCGTAATTATGCTGGGTATCCTACTTATACACTTAATGCTGCAGACTGGATTCCAATATTTACCCGAGAGTATCGTGGTGGTGTTCCTGGGTGCCTTTATTGGACTGTCGTTGAACGTAATGTCTGGCCAAACTGGCAGCTGGAAGCGCGAGGAGGTCTTTTCCCCAATGGGCTTCTTCCTTGTACTCCTCCCGCCAATTATATTTGAGTCTGGCTACAATTTGCACAAGGGAAACTTCTTTCAGAACATTGGCTCAATTCTAGTCTTTGCCATTTTTGGCACCACAATATCTGCATTGGTCATCGGAGCCGGAATATACTTGCTTGGTCTTGCAGAGGTGGCATTTCGGTAAGTAGATTCCTTTATTTTCCCAACTTTTAGCTAACTTCAATCGCTCTCCCGCAGGCTTAGCTTTTCAGAGTCGTTTGCCTTTGGATCGCTCATCTCCGCTGTTGATCCTGTCGCCACTGTCGCGATTTTCCATGCACTGGATGTTGATCCAATACTTAACATGTTGGTGTTCGGCGAGAGCATTCTCAACGATGCTATATCGATTGTGCTAACCGCATCCATCACACAATCTGCCAATGCAAACGCAGAGGCCAGCACGGGAGAGGCCATCTTTAGTGCCCTAAAGACGTTCTGTGCCATGTTCTTTGCCTCGGCGGGCATTGGAGTTATATTTGCATTGATATCGGCACTTCTGCTTAAGCACATTGACTTGCGGAAGCATCCGTCACTTGAGTTCGCCATGATGCTGATGTTCACCTACGCTCCCTACGTTTTAGCCGAGGGAATTCACCTAAGCGGTAAGTAATAATAATATAATGCAATAATTAAAAGCTAATACAATAACTAATTAATTGTTCATTCGTTACAGGAATCATGGCCATACTGTTTTGTGGAATCGTCATGTCTCACTACACACATTTCAACTTGTCCACGGCAAGTGTGAATTTATTAATAATTATTCGTTCTTCCTTAACACAGACTTACTCCATTCTCAGGTCACTCAAATCACAATGCAGCAGACAATGAGGACACTGGCCTTTATAGCCGAAACTTGTGTGTTCGCCTATCTGGGACTGGCCATATTTTCATTCAAGCATCAAGTGGAGTTGTCTTTTGTTATATGGGCGATCGTTCTGTGTCTGATTGGACGCGCCTGCAACATATTTCCTCTGGCATTTCTGGTTAACAAATTCCGCGAGCACAAAATCAACAACAAGATGCAGTTTATTATGTGGTTCTCTGGTTTACGTGGAGCCATTTCCTATGCGCTGTCTTTGCACTTGAACCTTGACAGTGAAGAGAAACGCCATGTCATAATAACAACCACGTAAGAGCAGACTTTTCTTTGAAGTACCATCAAAACGTTCTATAATTCTCGATCCGTAGGTTGATAATCGTGCTATTTACAACCTTGGTTTTGGGTGGCTCTACCATGCCGTTGCTGAAGTATCTTAAGCCTGGAAAAAAACGAAGGCCACGTGGAACTGTACGCAACTCATCCGTGGAGGGAGAGGGAGCAGGAGCAGGAGCGCGCCGCAGCAGCAGCAGCCGCAAACGCTCAAAGTCTATTTCTCTGTCGAAGACAAGGGAGTGGGGACAGGCCATCGATTCAGAGCATTTGTCCGAACTTACCGAAGAGGAGGATGTCTCCTTTACCCAGGCTCGTAACCGCTTTGGCCGCCTCGATCGCAAGTACTTCATTCCGTTCTTCACGCGTCGATTCAACAGCCAAGAGCTGCACGAGTGCAAGTCTCAGATGGCGGACTTGACCAACAAGTGGTATCAGGCGATTCGTGTTAGTCCCTTAGACTCAGACGAGTCCGATGAGGAGATTGGATTAGCAGCTAGCACAAGTCAGAGCCATCTCACACGGTCGTAGAATTAAATGATAAATGGAACTCCAGGGCTGTGTTAAAACAACTTTGTGGCCAAAAGTGAAGGATCGATCGTATGTATGATTTTTTAGTTAATTTATATTAAATGTATTTTTGTGTCTGGTGGCTGGGTACATTAACTTGTAGAATATTTTGCAACCTTGTAATATGTTTGTTGGATATAAATCCAAACAGATTTATTCCATGCCAACATTTCTCTCTGGGGGAACATTTCAAAACAGCCATTTTGAAGTGCATTGAGTCCAAAACTAATCATTGATACTTCAAAGTTTATTATTATAGATGTATTTGTGATTTTGTAAATGTTTGAAACCAAATATATAATAAACATGTAATTGTGATACGAATATTGAACAAGAAAAGTCTTTCTTTGAGTGGAACAAACAGAAAATATTTCTCAATTCACTTTGGCAAAAATCATATTAATTTAGTTAAACTTTCAGTGTTGCTTATAATTCATAGTTCATTTATAATATTACTACTGCCTATTAAAACTAAAATTGACTAAGAATTGTGTGCATGTGCATGCATTACAGTGGCATCTACAGCTCTTTGTGCGTTGGCTCCTCACTGAGCAGCGTTTCCGAGTCGCTGATGACTGCAAACAAAACAATATGAAAAATCGTTTAGGATATTTACGAACATTTTGTTTAATCAGGAATACTGCTGATCTTTCACGCGAATTGGCCTGCCGCGAATTATTCATAGAATAAACACACTATGGCCCAATTTGTAGCTTAACGCTTAATGATGGCTCAGTTCGGCTTATAATGACTTCATAATCAGTTCCTCTAATTGCTTTGTGTCGATTTCGGGATTAATGCCGGCTTGTGGGGAGTTAAGCCAGTACTCGGAAGCGGCAATGTATACGGCAACAGCCGCACCAACGACACAGCCCCAGCCAATATGTGTGGAGCTTTGAAAGATAACACAAGTGGCCACACACATGCCGAAGTAGGTGAGTAATCGCGTGAAGTTCACATACGAGTCGCGCTCCTCTGCGGATTGGTCTTTGGAAATACAGGTGCGCAAGAAATGTATTGTAAAGTGGTTGTTTTAGACGGATAGAGCTCAATAGATGGAAACTGTGTGTCCGAGACATTCACTTACCGTGACATTTACCATCTTTGAGCACAAAGCCATCCGCACACTCCTTGCACATGTCTGGACCATCGCCATCACAACCATTACATGACCGATCACACTCGAGGCAGGTAAAGGATCCTTCGTTGTTCACACAGAACTGCTGGGCACGGCAAGCGTTCGGACGCTGCTGTTCCAGGCATTCATTGACATCCACGCATCCTGCTTCCGAATCCATGCTCCAGCCATCCTTGCATTTCCGGCAGCTCTTGGGACCAGACCCAGTGCAACCGCCATCGCCACACGCAGTATGGCACTGTGTGCACAAGAGCTTGTTTTCGTCCCGGAATGATTCATAGTACTGACGGGCACACTCTTTGCAATTCGATCCCGCATAGCCAACGTCGCATAAACATTTACCGTTGCCCTTTCGCGTTCCGGCTCCTTTGCACTTGCCTGTAACAGTTAGGTTTACACAATAGATATTCATGAATAATGCAGTTTTCGTACTTACCGTTACCACTGCAATCGCTGCAGGGCAGACAGCTTGGTCCATAGGTGTTGGACGGACAGCACACGCTTAACTGTTCAACGCACAGCCAGGATTGTAGGTCCGGACTCTCGGCTTGCTTGTGTGTGAACCAGTCTTCAATTAACGCCTCGTGCTCGTTGGCGAGGTTGTGGCAATGGTCTTTGTTTGCCACTTCTGCCTCCGAGCAAAGCCGCTCCTGGATCTCCACCAGGCGAACTTCGCTGTTTTTATAGGAACGTAGCTTTTCCTCCTCCCAAGCAGTATCTCCACCACCATGTCCGCGCTTCGTGCGTTCCAGGCCAACTTTGAAGGATGTTACAAGCAGACTACAGGCCCTACAGGGAGGAGGTGTGGCCTTATCGGCTGATGTGGAGGCCACCGCCAATGCCACAAATGCAATTATGGATAAAGAATTAGACTTAAACAGCATGTCTTCGTGGTTCTTTCGTTTATCTCCCAGGCCGGTGATTCGTTTACGTGTATCAATAATATATCGATATACGATTCCAAAACAATATCGATACTTAACATCGCACCTGGTCATATTGTTTTAAGACTAGAACCAATATACAATGCCAAAATATTTGTTTCATGAGCACCCAGCGGGCGAGACTCTGTCCATAAAATACCATTGGCTGGTTTCCTAGGACTCATCGGTAAGTTTTTTTCGATCTGAACACAGCCCGCCGTTCAGCCGCTAGCAAACAGTTTGTGCTTGAAAAAATGTCTTATCGGTTTCATACGAAAATCATCCCTAATTTTTCTAGCGGCCACTTTTTCGGATCGGAGCAATTTTCACCCATCAAAACGAACATATGAACATTTTAAATGTATGCAGGGATACCCTCAAATAGGGTTTTATTATGATTTACTTAATTGTCCTGTTAAACATTACTTTGGAATATGTGTGTATTGTACGTTTGTAAATGTGTGGGTGTGGGTTATTATTAAATGACGTATAAAATTGTACTTAGCGATTCCATTTAAAGTGTGTATTACATCAATGAGGATCAGGGCATACAATACCTTAAAATTGGTCAGCTTAGTTTTGGGTAGGTTTAAGATTATTTGATGTAAATGCACTGGTGATAAGTTATATAATAAATAAATACATTTTTGGTGGTAAATAGCATATGGTATATGAAATAAATTATAACTACAAACTTACTTAAAATAATCCGAAACGCTAGACATGAAAATGCAGAATTATGGGAGATTATAGGAGAGGATATTTGGCGCCATTAAATAGCAACAATTACCATTTCAATGGAGTGCTTTTGTTGTGGTATGCGTTGGCCCTAGAAATGAGTAAATTAAAATATTAAACAGTTCATTTAAAAGGGTAGTAAAAGAAAAACATACTTAATAACGCCGAGATTTTGGCTTGCTGTAAGAGTTATTAGAGGTGTCAAGCGCTCTATAAAACGTTCATTGTTACGTTCTAATTCACGTTGGTAATCCTTTTGGTCTGAAAGTATTAGGTTACGATTCTTTTTCAAAGCGTCAGCACAACGCTTTGAGAACTCGCGAAAACATAATCGTAATTTGTTTTGATGTTTGGTCGGTATGGTTGTGCCATTTGATAAATTTGATAGAAAAACGCTGGCCATTTCCATGGGTCCCTGGTTAACGGTCGTTCCAATGCATCCTTGCAAGACCATTTGCAATATTTTAGGATCAGCTGGCTCCTGATTTGTAGCAGCCGCCAATTCCACTGTCTTTTTTTGAATATCCTAAAACAATTTGTGATTGAAAAGTGCGCTCAGATCGCATTTAGACGTTATCTTACCTCAATTGCCACTTCAATTGGTTCCAAGACTATTTGCTGTCGACTAATTACCATAATTCGAGTCTTCACATATGGAAAGTGGTTGGCCGTTGTCAAAATTGTCTTTCGCTTGCATTGCTCATGAAGCTCTCCATGAGCCTTACCCGTTTTGGTAAATGGTGTCGCATATATAAAACGTTCTAAATTGTACCAAAAGAAGTTAGTATGATATATAAAAATTATATTACAAGAAAGGAGCAACGTACTTATATTAAAGTTCCTTTCAAAGTAGGTTTCACGATGGCGCATTTCATATGTTTCAAAATAAGGTTCTACATATGTGATCTGAATATATGCCTTTTCCGAATCTAATGAGTTGATGTCAACTGAATTCGAGTCTTTTATGATATGTACAGAGTCGGGGCCAAAACGTTCCGTATAAAAGTTCTAAGACATCATAAAATAATATATTTATTAGTAAGTACATTAAAATTATTGCAATATACATACCTGAAGTCGGCTGAATATCTCTGGCAACTTGGTCAGTGTTGGCTCCTTGTAAATAAATTCTTGTTGATCTAAATCTCCAAATTTCGTACCATAGAAACCAACACGAAAATATGTACCAAAAACTCGCTTTCCCTATTTAGAATACAGAAAATAAAATGTGTTTCTTGCATTGATTTATGAACTTTTAGCTTACCTGTAGCTGAGCGATTCGATTAAATGCTTCCTGTAATTTTCCATGAACTTTACCCAGCTTAAGAAAGTCTCTGTTGGCTTCGCAGATGGGTATCAAAATCTTATACACTTCGTTCATTGCTTCGTACATGCCAGCGACTTGGAATGAGCTGGATGCCTCTTCGAGTAGCGCCTTTAGTCCAGTTTCAGTAAAATGATTTCCAAGGCAAATCCCATCCTCGCCAGGGCTAAGCACGTCATCCGACACGGCCGACTCCATAAGCGTGTTTGGGGAAATGCGCTGAAAGCTGACTGCGCCGACAGGTAAATGAGTTTGGGACTCCAACATGCTGAGATATTCGGAGACCAAGGCAGCGGCGTGGACATAGCACATGGCTGCCTCCGTATGATTAGCACGTTCACGATGCTTTTTGGCCATGTTTTCTAGCCAGGTTAAACGTAGGTCTGGATTGTTTTGGTATCCTTTGGCAATTCGATTCATAAGATCCAGCAGCATTTCTGGATCTTCCTGATATTCCTTCATTTTCACTGTATCCGACAGTATCATGTGTAGATTGAAGAGCAAATCTTGCACCTGCTCTGGAAACGATGTATCCTGTAGGTCCGTGTCAGATTCGGCATAAACCAAGACCGTTTTCAGTGCACGACGAAGTGATTGCTCGCTGAATACTGTGCTGGTGCCAACCAATGAGCTCAGCGACATTGTCACTTGCATCTTGACGCGAGCAAAGTTCTAAAATTAAAAAAATAAAAAACATTAATTGTAAAAAAAGTGTTTAAAATAATAAAATTTAAACTTACATTTCCAATTTCGAAGTTTTGTCTCATTAGTAAGTATAATGATGCTGCCGCCTGTGAGCGTATGCCTGGCAAGAGCGATCCGCAATGCTTCAGCAATATCAAACACAAGTCAGCACAAATGTCGGTTTCCTCATCAAATAATAAATTGGGGAATTTAAAAATTAACGCACGCTGAGAGGCAAACAAATTTTGTAGCGCCAGCGTTGACTGATTTCGGGAGAGTGCGTGGAGTAGCACTTTAAGGAGACTTCCCAGTAAGTTATTGTGGAGATTTGCAGCTACGTGCACTATTATTTCTAGAGTGTCGAGTAGAACGAGCGCAATTTCAGTCGCCAATGATCCTTCGATAAAGTGGCTCAGCTCCAGATCGTGTTCATTTTTGCCCACACCATCGGTGTAGGGTGAACGGTAGGGCATCTGATCCTTACGCCAGCGGAATTTCTCGGTCGAATTGCGATCTTTTCGACGATTGATTAGATCGTAGCGTGCCGAATTCGTGCCTCTTATGCATTCCTCCAGTTTTTCCTTGACGTCCGTGGATGCAGTCTTTCTAAAACTTTGTGTATTGGTTCGCTTTAAGGTCGGCATGTGCTTTTGGCCCGTATACTCAAAAGTCTTAAGGCAAACGTTTACCACTTGAAGCATTTGATGTACCCTATGAGGGGTTAAACCCAGCAGCCAGCGGTACAAAATGTTGCGCTCTAAATTCTTAAGTACCCATAGAAAGCAAACCAACAAGTGGCGCGTGTTCTCAGAGCTTAACGGCGACTTGTTTTTCACTTGTTCACTCATGTAGTAGGGGCGACTTCCCGATATTGCGTATGCCACTTCTGGACTTATAGTCGCTGCTGCTATAGTTTGTTGTGGTCCTTGATAATCCTCAAGCTGGCCAATCTGCTGCAATCGGTCATGATCAATGCCATGCTGATGGAATTGTGGAATGCTGTCCATCACAATGGATAACAGTGGAATGTACAAAGAGGCAACTCGTGCGCGTGCTTCCGTTTCGCAATATCTGGTATCCAAATCATGTGAAGTCATTAGGTTGCGAATGCAACGTATGGCCTTTCCATGTAATTGGGGATTGGGTACCTCCATTACTGTGGCCAAATCACTTAAAACAAGTCCGACCAGAAAGTGCTGTTGCAGAAACTCCTGACTGAGATCAGCTTGTAGTGCGCGTTCAAGCGAACCCTAAAAGATAAAGAATGTCTCAGAATGGAAATTTACTCATTTGACTCTCCACTTACACATGATGTTTGACTGTTGCTCGAAGTCGTGCTTGGCGTTGGGCTGCACGGTGCTGAAATGATCGTATACGCAGTGCCAAATGGCAAATTCAGTGCCACAAAATGCTCATGGCTGCATACAATACGCAGAAAGTCTATTTTATAATTCATTAGGTCTGGAATAGACGCGTTCTTGGAAATGAGCACTTTTGTATAAGTTTTAATCAGTCCAAAAACAAAGCCGCGATCCATGATGCTTAATACATCAAATATGAAAAAGCTGAGGCTGGCATTCAGAGATTGTGCCAATTTCGGTTCATTACTATGATATCCAACTACTTTTGTGGTAACTAAATGCACCAGCGTTGACAGATCGTCATTGTATTGATGTGGAAATCGATTTTTACGTGGCGCATTTAAAGTATTTGAATTATGCAAATGCTCAATCATTGACTTGACAATAAGCTCGAACAAAAACCAAGAATTTGCCATGGCTAGTTCTGCTGCTTTGCCGCTGGCAACAACCCAGTGAAGGGCAAGTTCTTCGTGCAGCAAACGCACTTGAACATCGCGACCAACAATGGAGTTGAGCATTTCAATGGCAAGATCTGTGAAAAAAAGAAGTTAATGGAATAGAAGGGAAATTATTTCACTATTCATACTAACCTTTGCGATCCAAACTGCGACCACTGGCTGAAACATTGTCATATAAACTGTATGAATCGCTTAATTGCAAGTCTTCGGTATTGCTGCGGCTGCAGGTGAGCCGCTTCTTACTCAGAAATGGATGCGGTATTTTGCATTGAAATTGCACATAAGTTGAGAACAAACTTTGACGTCCATATTGATCAACAATTAAATCATCGCTTAATATTGACAAAAGTGACGACACCAGGCAAAGAACTTCGAAGACTGTAGAGCCCAAAGACATAATTTGTCCACCAAGTTTGTGGGTCGTAACTAACAATTCAATTAGCTTGTCCAAAACCA